CTCCATGTCATTACCCCACCTTTTTTTTAGAATTATCCGAACTTCTATTTGTGGCATGAAAATAATATTAACACAGAACGAAAATTCCTCCTTGAATTATTCCTTGCAGCCCCAATAACGGTCCCAATAAAGTCAACACGTCATTCTTCCGGTAAAGACAATGATAATGTAATCTACTAATGTGGACGGTTGATTCCATTCAAGCACTAGAAATTTCAATTTTCAATTCTTTTGTGCCGACAGCCGAAAGAAAGAAGAAAATTCCGGTGTCACTCTGATTCTAGAGCAAGAATATCCTTCCCTCTAGATTATGCTAAATTTTCTAAGTATAACAGAGGAAACTGAACCGTAAAGAAAGATAATTCAACTCTTTTTTTGGTTTTTTTTTTTTTTTTAATCTTGATGTAGACCATAAAAACTAGAACCATATATACAACACAGGTTCAACTATTTGAATATTGTACAAAAATAAAGATTTTTTTTTTTAAATATGTATACATAAAATCGAACTCGCAAGACGTAAATCATAATGCTTTGATTTCTAGATTCACAATAAAGTGGCAGGGACAATCCAATTCTATTTAGTAAAAAATAAAATAAAAATATATTATGTAGTTTAAATGTATTGTAATAAATAATAAAAAATAAAAGGTGTTATATTATTATATTACAATCCAAAATTAATAAAATTTAATTTTTTATGCAGGTTAATTTTGGCCCAAACAATTAAGCCCGATCCAACTTCATCCAGCACCAACCAGCAGTCCAGTACTGCCCGACTCCAGACTTGACTGTTGGTGTTGGTCAACATTTTATTCAAGCTTTCTTATTTAATTTTAATATTTTTCTAATTTTATAACATTAGAGTTACAATTATATTAGGAAATGACGCTTAATATTAGAGTTGTCTCATGACTTTTATCTTCTTATTTACTGCAGTTTCGATTGTAAAGTCAAAAACTCAAGTAAAAAGCATTATAATGAATATATTGCAATGAGATTAATGCTTTTTAAGTTTAGTTGTACATTAAACGTGCATTTTAAGCATTAGATTACTAAATTGTCACTAATAAAATAACATATAAAAAATTTTATTAAAGATATATTTTAATATATTTATAGATAAAATTATATTTAATTATTTGTTAACAATTTAAATAGTACAATGATAATTTATTAAGAAAATAAAAAATTTTAAATTTAAATTATATATTATATAAGTGAAATAGATAAAGAGATGGTTAAAAATTTTTTTCTATTACTAATTTAATATGTTTAGTTTGGGAAATTGAGAGAGAAGGCCAGAGGTAAAATTTTTTTATTAATTAGTAAAAGATTTGAAAAGAATGGGGTCTGTCCAATAAGAAAGAAGAGTAAAAAAAATAAGGAAAATAAAACTATAGTCGTATCTTTCCATTCATATTCGGATCTCTCAATCCAAGTGTGTACTGCACAAGAAAAAACCTTTCCATTGTGGAAGCCCCCGCAGCCTTTCCCACTTTTCCCAGACTAACTTTCCCACGAAGAGATACCCACACCCGCTAATTTCTCTTGTCTACGGATCGGATCTGTTGACCCAAACTCTACCGGACCATGAGCTCTGGCTCATCTACTGGCGGTGACGTCCCGGGGACAGGATCCACCACCAAGGAATGTTCGACGTCGTCGTCCGTTGACAAGCAGAAGGAAAAGGCTAGGGTGAGCAGGACCTCGCTCATCCTCTGGCACGCGCACCAGAATGATGCCGCGGCGGTCCGCAAGCTCCTCGAAGAGGATCCGTCTCTCGTCCGCGCTAGGGACTACGACAACCGCACCCCGCTCCATGTGGCGTCTCTCCATGGATGGATCGACGTCGCCAAGTGCCTAATTGAGTATGGCGCCGATGTCAACGCGCAGGACCGCTGGAAGAACACGGTACTGTTTTCTTTCACTCTTCAATGCTCGTTTGTCTAATTTGGTGCTTGTTATTGTTTCTGCAACTGTTTTGTGAATCACTGTAAATTTCAGTGAGTTTTGAATGTGCTGTATTCCGCAAGTTCAAATATATTATCTGTTTGGTGATAAACAATTAAGTTCAGGGGTCTTTTACTTGTGGTTTCTAGAGGTTTTTCCATTCTTGTTTTTACAGGCATTGAAAGCAAATGCATGTTATTCGGTCTTTAGTTGTGGTCTCTCTGGCTGCAGATATCTTAAAAGGCACCTTTTAGTTTTTGTGGGAGGGCCAGTCAAATTCAATAGCACTTGGTTGCATTTTCTGGTTAGGTTGCCTAAGGCAATTGTCAGCTTATGACAATTCCTTTATATATTTGTTGGAAATGGATTTGATTTTGCAAATTTGTGCAATATTAATCCTCCCTTCTGTTTTCCCGCTTCTTTGTGTCTATTTATTTAATTTCCAGCAGAGGAGCAAGTTTCCAATCACAGCTTTGCATCTCATATTAAGTGCCTTCTTTATTTTCTAAACATAGATTCTGTTGAAGGTTTTCATCTGGAATTAAACTTAGCTTGGTTGTTGCCTGAGCTGAAACTTCTACCATGACAGCCTCTAGCTGATGCAGAAGGAGCTAAAAAAGCCAGCATGATTGAGCTTTTAAAATCATATGGTGGATTGTCTTATGTAAGTTTGTCTCATCTTCCCATTCTCTTTTAATTTTTGAAAGTAGTTTCTGTTTCTTTAATATGGGTATCTGTCATGGCATACAATTTGACAATTAGTTGACTATCAAATTCATATTTCTTGTCTTAATTTTCTGTTTTCTTGAGATTGTTGCTCTTTTATTTCCATGTCTTCACCTGGGGCATGTATTGAAGATTCCTCAAATCCATCCGAATAAGAGGGTTGTATCAAATTGATGTAAAAATGAAGTTAAGAATACATGCTTTTAAAGGTTCTTTGGTCTTTGATTTATAGATTGAGGAACTTAAATATGCATAGGTTTGATGAGTTTATTTCCGCATTATGTTTTGTGCAATCTCCATTGGTGCTCATTTTGCATGGTTTTGGTTCCATTCTAGCTGGAATGGAATTAAATGTTCTATTTTTTCATGAATTAGAACACATGCTTCCAGCATTGGCTCTCAGTAATGTGACGCCCTTCTTCTTGCCAGTTTCCATTGTTGTTATATTTTGGAACCATACAGACATTTCCATTATACATGCCACCACCTAATTGATGAATTGACATAGAAAGAAAGTCAGATATTCTACTGGTAGGAATGTATTAGCACTTGTGTCTTTATATATCTATCAACAAGAACTTGTTTGTCACTGAAGTTTATTACTTCTAGAATGGAGTAAGTTTGGGAAAACTAGTTTAATACTTTAACTGCTCCTTTAAGCATGGTGGATGATTGGCATTGGGAGGACATAGCTCAGATGTCCTATTATGATGTTTGGTCACTACAATTACTCACTATCCTCATAGAGTATTATGCTTCTCTTTTTGGTTAGTTGCCAGTTGTCACTTCTCAAGCATAACATATAGTGTTGTTTTTGGTTGTGAGCTTTCTGGGATAGGTGAGGTTGATGTGAAGTTGTGTTAGCCTTTAACCTTTGTTGTGTCTTTAATCCATGTTTATCAAGAATTTGCCTTCAATTTCAAATTCCTCAAAAGGATTATTTTGTTTAAGATATCCTAGTTCTAATTCTTGGCATCCTTCATTTCTCTTCCACTATATGCTACTTAAATTTTCCAAGACACAGGATGCAAGGTTGAAATAGAGCCTTGTATTTACCTGTTTGTCCTCTTTGCCCATAGTCATTTACGATGAAATTAATTGAGATGAAAACCTCTTATTATTATTATTATTATTATTATTATTATTATTAATGTATTTAACATCTTTTCAGGTGTAAATAAAACTGAAGTCTATACATGACTATTCATGAAAATCCTTTTAGACCCTGTACAGTTTGCCTTTTAATTGTGTTTAAGTTTAGGTGTTACATTGTTGCAGGGGCAAAATGGAAGCCATTTTGAGCCAAAGCCTGTCCCGCCTCCTCTGCCAAACAAGTGTGACTGGGAAATTGATCCTTCTGAGCTGGACTTCTCAAATGCAAGTGTTATTGGAAAGGTGCATTCTGTTTCATAATGTTCATGACATGTAGAATGGAGCCAGCTTTGCATGCAGTTAGTTCAAAAGTTAGACCATGATTTTGATGTTGCTTGTTTCACTTTCATATGGAAAATCAGTCTTTGGGTTGTAATTTAGGTATTAGAATTTTTACATATATTATTTTTATAATCAGAAAAATGATTATGAGTAATATTCAAGTGCCTGTTAATGATTTAACTTGTCAAGATAGTTTCTACTTGATAGTGTGAGAAGTCAATATATCTAAATTGTAGAAATGTAAAAGACAGCACCTCTGTCTTTTAGGAATCAGTGACATTGTTAACAAACTATTTTGATTTATATGGTTGCTAATGATCCCTGTTACAAGTGTGCTACCATCTTTCTTGTCCAGGTAAAGAAAACTTGCCAAATAATTTGTTGATGGTAAATTTCAGTCATTGGACTGAGAACTTTATGCTAATATGAATTTACATTGCCTCTATACTAATTGGTGTGGGCCTTTATCATGTTAGTTTGCAGTTTAAAGCACATAAGATGCTTAAATCTAGAGCTCAGCATCAAGCATCCGGTGCATTTTCTATGTGTGCCACTAATTATATTTAATCTTGCAGGGATCATTTGGTGAGATCGTAAAGGCCTCTTGGCGAGGAACACCAGTAGCAGTCAAACGCATTCTTCCATCACTCTCAGATGACAGACTGGTGATGTGAGTCCATTACGTGTATTAGTAAAGTTTCCATATAGCTAGGCCATGATATATTTTTTACTAATAGTAAGCTGCTTCTTTTGGCTCAACAATATATTTCTTTTGCATGACTAGTTCCTTCCTGTTATGTGGTGAACTGCATTCTCATGGAAAATGCTAGAAAACCAAAGAAAAAGACAAAAAACTTTACACTTAAATTATCCCAGAGAAGCAATGATCATTGTTTTATATGATCCATTCTGGATTTCTCATTATGGTAATGGGATTCAATTTCAGAAGGCTGATGTGCTTCCACTTGATAGATAATAGGTTATTTTGATGCTTATTGCAGCTATGGTCTAAAGTTCTCCATACTTAAGTTCTGTTATATTAGAAATTGCAATTATCTTACATCTCTTTTGCTTTCATGATTCAGCCAGGATTTCCGGCATGAAGTAAATTTGCTTGTGAAGCTTCGCCATCCTAATATAGTCCAGTTTCTGGGAGCTGTCACTGAGAAGAAGCCACTTCTGCTAATAACTGAGTACTTAAGAGGGGTATGGATGTATATCTGTATCTATTCCCAGTTGTTGGTTCTTCTGCAGAAGTTTTTATTGGAAATCTTTTGTCTTTAATGCCTGTTTTCTTAATTCTGCCTGTTATAGGGTGATCTTCACCAGTACCTCAAGGAAAAGGGTGCACTTAGTCCATCAACAGCAATTAACTTTTCACTGGACATTGCCAGGTATATACTGAATTAATCATTCTCCTTTTGCTACAAATAGGAAAATTACCACTTGAGGCTAGTCACTCCATTGAATTTTCCATTTGAATTTTATTTTATGCGATACTTATGTCTATATGATTTTTTTGTTTGGCCTGATTAACTCATATGATTCATTGTAAGAGAAAGAATAGTGCGAAATAAGGAAAAACCAGACTAGATATCATTCCCCATAAATTCCATGGAAAAGGATATAGCCCTTGATTAATTTGGAGGGGTGTTCTCATCCTTTTTTTTTTCATCTTTTGCCAACAGGGGCATGGCTTATCTTCACAATGAGCCAAATGTCATTGTTCACAGAGATCTAAAACCCAGGTAAGTAAATTTATCTTCACATTATGATATTTAATAGATCCTATGTTCTCTTTACTCATAAGTACCAGTTGCGCTTTTCACAGTTTAATAAATCCATCTTTATATTTAGGGAAATTGCTTTTGGAATTTTAAATTCTAAATGAACTTCAGAGTTTAGCACTAGAAAAGATTTTTTCTTTTCCATTTCTCTTGTGCTTTCTTTCCTTTTCCTTTTTTTTTTTAATAATTTATTTAGCCTTTGAGAACTTGAAGCTGCATTGACCTTTTTCCTGTACAATTTTTCTCCAATTTAGGAATGTACTTTTGGTCAACTCCAGTGCAGACCATTTGAAAGTTGGTGACTTTGGACTAAGCAAGCTTATCAAGGTTCAGAATTCTCATGATGTCTACAAAATGACTGGAGAGACTGGGAGTTGTAAGTGTGTCTTTTGAATGAAATGACATCTTCTTGAGTCCATCTAATTACATGCCTTTATTTTTTTAATGAAAACAGACCGTTATATGGCTCCCGAAGTTTTCAAGCACCGGAAATATGATAAGAAAGTTGATGTTTTCTCTTTTGCAATGATCCTATATGAGGTAATAATAGTTTTTGCAGTTATGCCATTGAACATGAAGTATTTGAAACTAGGCTCTAATGCATGAAGTCCTAATTGGAGTGCAGATGCTTGAAGGAGAACCGCCATTCTCTAATTATGAGCCTTATGAAGCAGCTAAGTATGTGGCAGATGGACAGAGGCCCCTTTTCCGTTCTAAATCATACCTCCCTGAACTGAAAGAGTAAACCATCTATCTTTTCAGTCACTCTACTTGAAAGTTGCTTGGTTTTTGCTAACCATCCATGTGTTCCATTTATAAATTGACTTCAAAATTTGAGTTGTCTCCAGTAGCATACTGCTTTGCTGTAAAGATGCTTTTGTAGGCACTCTTTGTAATTGGAAGGCCATCTTTCAATTAACTTTAAGTAAACTTTTTTGTGCATCCAACCCACCACAGACAGAGGAAGTTGTGTTCTCAAGGGTAAATGGCCTAATCAGTCCCTTAACTATGAACATATAATGGAATGGTCCCCAAACTTAAGTTGGTACCAGTTTGGTCCTTTAAATATTTCATTGATAGAGTTAGCATTTTGTTAATAATTTTTTTTTTTTCCTTTAAAACCATGTTAATGGGTTTTAGAAGAAGATTGAAGAAAATGCCCTGCCCACTTCTTCAATCTCTTGCTAAAATGGCCTCCATTGAAAGAAGCAGGAAGTTTCAATTGAAGCTCTGTTACAAGAGGATCATGAAGAGAGTAGAAACTAGAGGGAAAAGGGGGGAAATGAAAAGATAAAAAGATTTCTGTAGAGATGCTTTAAAATGAAATTAGGTAAGAGAGGTGCTTTAAAATGAAATTAGGTAATGTGTTCTGATATGAGGATTTGTTCAACTATATAATGGGACTAAAGACACCAACTTAAATCCAAGGACTCAATTATTACCCTGTGAAATTTAAGCCTCAAATAGATGGTTAATCTATTTAATGATAGGTAGATGGCTAAGATATCATTGTCTAGATATGGTTTTGGATTATTTTGCTTGGCTTATGCACATCATCTTCCGAGTTAGTCATGCAATCTGGCCAAGGTAAGACCTGTTCAGATTTTTGTTTAATATTTACATAGGTGAAGATATACTTAATGTTCCTAATCAACTTTGCTATGAAATCTAAGTATCTTAATCATACTGTGGTGCAATATTATTACATTAGAAGTATGTCTTAGATATAGAATTTCTATTTTTAAATTTTCTTAAGCAGCATCCATCATGGTTGAGCACCTGGATTAGCATTGACTGCTTCTCCCTTACGAGGAGCTATTGAGTTTTCATGCATATAGTCTCTGCTAAATATTGATCATTTTAAAATGGTTCTTTAACTTGTTTAGGTCAATTATAATTTACAATCAGTTTTAATTTTATTTTTACCCTGTAGTGTCTAGCTTCTCATTCTTATAGTAACCATGTCCTATCCTAGGTTTATTGCATCTTTAGCTAACCTTCTTGTTCTGCAATTGTGCCATAAGGCAATATAAAGGAGAAATCAGTCAACTAACAAAAAAAGTCAGCCTGGACATAACTTTAGTCCCTAAACTTTTATTGTTTTCAATTTGGTCCCTTACTAAAATTATTATATGACATCAAACAAATAAATGTGTAGTGATTCACGCGTCCCAATAGTTAATCATAATTTATATAGCTTAAATTATATTGTTTTATAGACAAATTTGAAAAAGTAAAAATAAAAATTTAAGGACTAAAATTGCCACTCCGGACTGATCTCCTTTTCTGTTATCAATATTAGTTTCTACAAGTCCTCATTTTTGTTAATGCCTCAACTGAAAATCCTTTTCTAGTCCTCATGTTTGTTTTAACGTAGCAACTAGCAAGTTTTTCTACCTTACTAAATTTTGTCATCGTGTTGAAGTTACACAATTGGAGTTTGCTAATTTCTTTCCTCTTGGATTTTTTTAGTTTAACAGTGAATTGTTGGGCTGCCGATATGAATCAAAGACCTTCGTTCTTGGAGATTCTCAAGAAGCTCGAAAAGATCAAGGAAAATTTAACTCCAGGTCACCATTGGAACGTATTCAATTCATAGTATTTAATTAGATCAATAAACTGATGTTATGCATGCTACCTCTAGAAGTCGCCTCCTGCTGTCCCATTTGTGCGGATGGTCTTGTGAATAGACTATGTTTAATTAAAAGCTTGTGATAAATATTGCATACTAGCTCTCCTGCTATTTATTCCGAATTTTCATGTTGAACAGGGGAGATCTTGAAACACCTTAGTCCACAATACTGTGGTTGTAAAAGTCACATACATATTCTAAAATTGTAATTCCTAGTGGTCTCAATTGATGATGAGGAAAGAGATGACTTATTTTTCTTCGCTCCTTTTACCTTTTTGTATCTCATTTGCAAACTTTTGATTAAAAAAAAAAAATTTCCTACGAAAATAGTTTGTTTTGTGCTAACTAAATAAGAGGCTGATCGGGCTGAGGTTATTGCAACATTTTATTTTGTTGAAATTTCTTATATTTGTGATTTTATCAGTTTATAAATTTTTTAAATAATTAGTTATGATATTAATTTTTTCTCGGATAAATCTCTCTTAAAAAATCTCTTCTTCTTCCTCAATCTTCGGAGGATGCGGCATTGTATTATTGTAAGTTTTCTGTTCCAAATTATTGTAAGTTCTCTGTTCCGAACATTTCCTGAAGGTAGACGACAAGTTTTAAATCTTAATGCGGGCATTTCATATCTCGTTGAATCAGTCTCAATCCTTCAGGAAAACTCTCCTTATTAGACTCAGAACATTCAGTACCAACACACTATATGATGGCATCACTCTCGGCCGTCTTCAGCGAAGGTAGATTTTCAAGCTTCATAAAATCAAGATATGATCCATCTGAGTTCTGAAAAATAGCATTAACAAAACTAAGAGCAAACCCCGCAGTGTACTCCTTGAAGTGCTTGAGGTTCCTTGGGCTTAGTAATTGATTTGAATTAAAGTGGGTACAGCAGTGTATAAGACTTGGCATTAGACCATACCAAATAGAAAATCCTAAGCTAATAGCGTAATTAATAGCATGTCCGTTTGCTACTAATTCAAGATACTGAAAAAAATCCCATACCGCGGAAAAACTATCTTCGATAGAATTCCCGATACATAATTATAAGAAAGAATCCTGTCTAATAGAGGAAGGGGACGTCTCATTACGAGTAGACGACTACTTATAGATACAGCACAGTTAGCGAGGTACTGAGCTGACGCGGGGTAAAAGATTGGTGGGTAGGCACAAAGTATAGGAGAAGTACTGAAATGTTTTTTTGAGTAAGATAATTTCTCCCGTATAATTTTATATTCACTCATATCTTTCATTAGTTGAGAAGAAGTTGGAGAGAGCGAAATGTGCCTGTTACCTGCGTAGCCTCTCATAAGGAAGATCAATCTGAATCAAAAATCGAAATGAGAAAATGCTAAAAAAAGATTCATCATATTTTTGACATTTATAATAGTATAGTATCTAATTTATTTTTCAAGCAGTGGTGAGATATGCTATTCCTGTCTCACTCCTCCTCAGTGTCATACCTCGGGCTACCCCCCTCTCTCAAACATGGATGAGTGGGTATATATCCTAATACTCAATAAGAGTTTCAACTCATTTGTTGAGAGAGAACAGACATATATAGGAATTTAGCATTTCTGATGGAGGTGCTTGAGCTGTTTTTTTCCCTATATCCGGGTATAACACTGAGGAGGAGCAGCCGAGGAAGTCTGGACAGCATTTTAAAGAAAAAGTAAGATATCATTTCTATTTATTTCGACATTTCTAATAAAAAAGAATCATCATTTTTTTTTACATTTTTTTCTTTTGATTAAAAACTTTTAAATGCTAGAAAAAGATTAATTATGTTTTATAATTAAAAATTTTTAATCAAAAGAAAAAAATGTAAAAAAATATGATGACTCTTTTTTATTAGAAATGTCAAAATAAATAGAAATGATAGGCCGGAGTGGTGGGGAAGGGGGCCCTCCCTACTTCAATGGAAAGGGAGGAATCGTCGTTTCACAGCCGCTCCTCTACAACTGCCTTTCGCCTAAGAAGCAAGACGAAATCTTTCTCTTTCTATACGAAATTTCTGAAAAAGAGGTAAATACATATAGAAACTGTTGGGAATGGGTTCAACATTCCATCTTGGCCACGTGCAGTAGGGCCAATTATCAATCCCTAAACCCAAAATAAAGATATATCCATACAACAGTTCATACATACTCATGTGGGTGCGTACATGTGGACCAATCAAATGCTTACACGTGTAGCTTTATATCATCATCTAGGGGCTATAAATAACCCCACCTACCTCTGCTCAAGGTAATAACTCCCTTACGCTTTTCTCTCTTTGCAATTACTTTTGAAAGCTTATCTTTCTAGAATATCGAGTATTACTAACATGAGTGTCGGAGTGTTTTCTCTAAGGAAATATCATCGAGTTTTTCAGGTGTTAAAGCAATTGAAGATCTCTACAGTATAAGTTTGTGAAGTTGCCCAAATAGAAACAAAACTGAAATATCTTTTTTCACACCCGCAGCTTTGATTGTGTTGGTCCAGATGCATCATATTCTTGGTAACTGCCAGAGTTCTAATCGCAGCAATAACAGCCTCCCTATCCCCCTTTCCCTAACTTCCCCCTGTTCAAAAAGAAAAAAAAAAAAAGAAAAAGAAATATCTCTTTTTTGTCCAGTCAACGAGACAGATTCGATCTTGTTTTCTTCTTCCAGGTTAAGCTTTGAAAGATAGATTTCAAAGGGTCTATGATGATTCCCTCTCAAAGAGGGCATTTGAGTCACAAACAAGCCCTTCATTTCAAAGACCTTTTCTATTCTATTGTTAGTACAAAGAAAAAAACTAACACAAAAAGCATTCATATGCTATTGCTAACAATACGGTAAAGTAGGAATGTCATCCGGTAAGGCAAATTTTAGAAAAGCGCTTCTTCTAATAAAAGCTTATCAAGCAGTGAATTCTTCCTTTATAGTTCCTTATAGCAGGACATAAATCCTTCTGTAAGAGGGGCAAGCCTAAACCCTCTTAACTCTAACTACGCATTCTCTACTCGTTACTATCTTTGATATTTTATTCAATTGAATGTTAGAAATCGGTGCTGTTGACTCAACTGTGAAGTTAGGGATTGGACAAATCCGGTCTTTGCGACGTGAAGAAGAATGTCTTGTTATAGTGAATCCGATCAATAGTTCAGATCACCTATTAAAGGAATAGGACAAGGAACTTCTGCCCATGAATGAGATTAGTGCCCCTTCTGTTTGTAGTCCATCCATCTCATCTCATTTGCAAGACAAGGTTCTTAGGATATCCGAAAATGACATTTTGGACAAAAAGACAATCTTTTAAAAAAATTTTAATCAAAAGAAAAAAATGTAAAAAAATATGATGACTCTTTTTTATTGGAAATGTCAAGAGACAGAATCTCCATGCATGCGTTCTTTCTCTCCTCCCCTTCCTAATACCTAACACATAGTTCCATCTATGGAGCCTAAAGCTTAAACCATGGCATAACAGTAAGAAGTAAGTTGGCCTAGTCTCTCGCCATCTTCTTCAATGGCCAAGTTGAAGCGTTCAACGGTTCTTCGACCTACCGCCTTTCTTTTTCAAGGTTGAGCTTGTTCAATTGAAGCTAATGCTATGCCCTTGCACAAGAGAAAGCGAGGACTTTTAGTTACCGACCTAAACAAAAGAGATTAGCCTCTTAATCGATGGATTGATTGAAGTGTGAGATTAGCCCAAGATTCTCGAACCTCCCGGATTAAGGCTTGTGAGGGACTTTAGATGTTTAGAGAGATTCAAATGTCAATTATGAAGCATCTGGCCCTTTGGGCTAAGTGTCCTTTGGCCACCTTGAAGTGCACCCCCCACTTCCTTGGGCGGGTTCGAACCCGCCTCATGACAACATTATTCAAAAAAAAAAAATGTCAATTATGAAAGGATGACCTTTCTTTCTTGTTTAGGCCCATTATAAAACTGGGCTTGAACAGATCCAACTGGACTTTAAACATTTATCAAGTACCATCTAGTTCAAGAGTGAGGCTCTCTCAATAAAAAGCAATATGGTAACGAGGTTTGCCTTTCACTTTATTAATCAAAGTTTACTTACGGTGACTAATGAAATTAGGTAATTTCTCGTAAATTTTTTAGTCTTGGTTTAAATGGTCTATATTTGATAAAAAAAAAAAAAGGTATGATTAATCTTAAAGCCTGTGTAGTTAGTTCGATGATACCTTAATCGGCAAATGAAAATAAGAGGGGGTGGGTTTGAGGTTGTGTTCATACTAAAATATTGCACATTCAATTTCTTATCCTTTTGAAAACATCATTCTCACTAATTTTTTATGAAAGTTTTTTTTCTTGTATATCAAATAATCTGTTATACAATAAAAAACATTTTTTTCATTTATTTTAAGATTTAAACTCAAAATCTCCAATTTAGAGTCTTAAGGTTTTAACCTTGAGACATCTCTTAGGAACTTTTCTTTTTGTGAAAGATTGTATTATATTTTGTATGACAATAACATTATCCTTAATTTTTCTTTAAAAATTTTAAGGATTATTTGGTATCATTTTAGTATTATTTTTTCTAATTTATTGGACCAATATATTTTTCGCCTGGGGATGTGATTTATTTTGGAAGACAATGAATACACGCCTCCAAATATTTGAGTTTAATTATACTCTTCATTTTATTCCATGTTTTTCATCTATATTTTTCCCAAGTTACAAAATAATAACACTAGGCCTTAGAGGCTAGTTGATTACTGCACTCAATATTTTGGCTGATGTCAAGATTTATGCCCTGGGCAATGCTGCGTTAAAACTTAAAATCCCTCTCTCCTTACCCCAAATTGTAGGCTAATTGTCACTATTAATTTTATTGGGGTCACTAAAACTGTAAAAAATTTATTTTAATTTAACTATTAAAAATAGTTGATAATTGATAAAATAATTAATATTTATTATTTAATATATTAAAATTAATTTATAAATAGATATTTTTAAATATCATAATCAATTATTTAAAAAAAATTTAAACTAATAAAATTACAATTAAAATTAATGACTTTAACACTAATAAAAAATTAATAATTTTAATAAATTTAGCGGTTGTCATAACTCCTATACTCACACCAAATTGTAACCGTTAAAAACGGAAGTTACTACAAAATCGTATAAATTCCAATGGATATGCTGAAGGTACAACAAGTCAGTGCTTCAGCTTGAACCCAAAGCTTTTGCCATGCATGCAACTACTACATAATTATGACGTGATTAGGGGAAAATTAATGCCTACTTAGTAATATGATTTTGGAAACTGTATCTCTAATTCTTGAGGGAACAGTTGTCAATTTTCGTTTTCTATCCTCTTGTTTCTAAAACTAGTTATGGACTTGCTCTTCGTGTGATAGGGATTGTGGACTACCACTACATTGTACTTTTATTTGTGACCTCCCCCATTAATTACTGTAAACAAGAGCTGATGAGCACAGCTAGAAGATGAATGGTTCAAAGTAAGTGTGACTGAGATTGCGGTTAATTATTTCAAATGGTGATCCATCAATTAAAATCTGTCAATCCCTTAATTATTGGGGTTTTATTACTTATTATCTTTATTTTTACAACTCAAGAGATACAATGAAATCATGGTGATTGAGCATACCGTGTTTTTTTTCCCTGATTTTAAGGCTGTTTGGTTTCCTCCCTCACAAGTAAATAAGATAAAGAAGATAATATGCTAATTAGTACATACATATTGGGTGGTGCTATACGGACAACCTTTTTGTATCACATTTTGATATAACTTTTACATGTCATTAAATAAGTGGATGCTTTCAATATCATTGGTCGCACATGAATTAAAAGAATCAATAATTTAAATGACATGTTAAGTTGTACCAAAAGATGATACAAAAAAGTTATATCAAAAGATGGTACAAAAAAGTTGTTTCAAAATCATTTCCCCATACATATATTCTAGTATACCTTTGCAGATCTATGCTATTTACGGTACTGGCTAGCAAAAATAATGGCCTTAGAAAGGAAAGTTTTTAGGAGATCTCAAATTCACAATCACCAGATCCTACTGAGCTGTCTCCACCTTATCCAGAGTTGTTAAAATTAAAGGGCCAGGTTGACGTGGGGTGACCAACTGCATGCCTGCGTTTTTGTATATAAGAAGGATTTGGACATCGGAGGTCAAGGCACAGAAACACACTAGTGTAAGAGAAAAAGATTGCCATCCACCGCGGCAACATTCCACAAAGGAAACAATGTTTAGAAGAATGGGAGTATGTTTTTTTTTTTTTTTTTTTTTTTTTTTTTTTTCATCAAATGATGATGTTATATATATATATATATATATATAACGATCGATATGTAATCATCTTTTTTCTAAATCTCTCATAATTAACATTTTTCTAATCTTTTTCTTGTTTACAAAATGCATGTTTGCTGTGATCAGATGTTTGGAAGAAAGAACGATAAGGCTATGAGGGCAACAATGAGAAGGCTGATAAAAAAAGAAGTGAATGAGATTGCTGAGAAGGAACGAAAAAGAATCATCATAGAGACAACTGAAGATAACCGCGATCAGCAGAAGAATGGAAGCGGAACTCAGTTCCGAGCCCAAGTTCTCTTTGAAATGACTAAAGCATTTGGCCAAAAGGGAGAGAATAAAGTTTTCAACAACAGCTTCCTTAAAGCCACTAATCTTCTTTCATATATACGGTTGGTCTCACTAAAAATATACTACGTTGCTTCACAAATATATGTATATATATATATATATTAATTTAATGATATTGATTTTGTCAAATTTCAACAATTTTATTTATTTGTGTTTTATTTTGTAATTTGAATTATATTAAATTACAAAACTGAAACTATTAGATGTGTGGGAGACTATTTCCAAGGCCTGTTATATGTAATAGTTTAAGTTGTGTATTTTAATATAATTCAAATGCATAATAATTTTTTTGAATTAACCTTAATTTTTTTCTCTTTTTCTCTCTAGTGAACTTTGGAAGAAGAAAAATTCAGAGTGATGCTTTGGATCAAAGGGACAGATATGAATAATTAATTATTTATTTGTCTAAATTTTTTAGATAATTGTTTTAGGATTGATAGCCTTAATTATGTATATATATATAAATAAATCCAATGTTTAAATAAGTTAGTGTAAATCTTTTCAGTGAAAGTAATTAAAGGATTATGAATTTGAATTGTATGGTATGCAATTGGAATGGATTAAGGGATGAAAAAGGGTTGCTTCCTATTGTGCAACTCAAAATCCAAAAAATAAAAATAAAAAAGAAAGAAAAAGAAAAAACATTAATAAATTTAAGTTCATTTGTTTTATGCCTATGCGGTAAATTTGTCTCTTTTCCCCCTTTAATTTCAAGAAACAGAAGATTAACCTTATTGAGATTTTATTTTGTAAAGGAAAATTGCACTTTCCTCTCTCAAATAGTGCACATATCCAATTTCATCACAAAAAAATATACATTTTGATTTAAGTGATTTGAAAAAAAGTGGGACAAGTAAGTATAATTTAGAGTAGGTTGGAGAAAATATTAGAATAAAGGAAAAAAAAAAGGTAATAAAAATTGTTGTTTTTTTTTTTTCTTTGTATCATTAATATTTTTTTGATTTAACTTCTCGGTATCCGTTAACCACATTAGATCCTAACTAATCTAGAATCGAGTTACATCGAATTTCATTAGGAGATCGAGTCACATCGGATTCCATTAGGAGAAACTCTCTCGGTGTTTGTTTTTTTATTTATAAGATTTAAACTCGAAACCTTATTTAAAAGAAATTGAATTCTTTTCACCTATATCAACAAGTAATTGGTTGTATCATTAATATTTAATTGTAAGTTAAATAAGGGCAGAATCAAGACGGAATGAAGGGTGGGGCCTATCAATTTCGTTATGGGGTTGTTGATTTCCAATATGTTATACTTTTTAATATTTCAGTTTTGATAATGGAAAATATTAGTTCAAAAGAAGCATTGAGCGTGCCAACACACTCTACTTAATCATTTTGCTTCTAAAAGGATGTATGGAATATTTATAAAGGATTTGTTTTACCCTATACTTAGTCAAGAGGAAAGGAGAAGGGAATAGAGGGAATAGAAAAAAATAAAACGATATAATTTCTCCTTTTTTCCTTCTCATTTAAATAAATAATTAAATTAAAAGAAAAATCAAGTAAAAAAAATTTTTTCCCATCCTCTCTTTTTTAATTGTTTTATAATTAAATAAAAAAAATTTCTCATAAATTTAAAATTTTATGGAAAAGAAATTTAAAAATTAATTTTATTAACAGTGGACTTACATTATAGAAAGAGCATTAGATTTACTCATAATGTAAGGACATTTTTGTCTATGCAAACATATATTTATATAGAATCCCACCCTGGCTTAATAATCAACCAAACATAGGACATGTCGACATAGGACATGTCGACATCTGATCCTATCCTACTCTTTGAATCCTACCCCATCCAATTCTAACGTATCCTCCAAACGTACCCTAAACTGCTTGATTTTCCTAGGGAAAGGCCAACGCAGCACTGCTTCCAGAGTCTTTGGAACGTGCAGCTACTAGCTACCTCATCTGTGATGATAAAATGTCCCTAGTATTACAACTTAGAGCACCCAAATGAGCATTTGCAAATGTATGAGATGCTCCTTCAAGCTCCGGTTGTCACCAGGATATCATTAATAAAGCACCACAACAAATTTTCTGAAAGGTGAAAAATGTCATTCTATGAGGGACTGGAACGTAGATGAGGTGTAACCAACTGTTAATAGGACCTTCAAAATTCAATATTCTGGTGCACATATGCAAGTAATTGAAAATTCATATAATACTCTAAGACTGTATTCTGCTGAGAAAGATTTTACAGCACGATATAAAACTTTTAACAAGTGTAAAATTAAATGAGCTTCTTCTTCTCAAAGAAGGTCTTCAAGTGCCATATTTGCAGGCCTGCTACTGACAAACAGACAAAAAGCGAGAGGAAGCTCAGCCATGCCATTTTAGAGTTTGTAGCTCGGTTCAGCTCCTGCATTTCTTCCTCTCTGGAAAAAGAATACATAGAAGCAAGGATGATTGCAGCATGAATAGCATTCTATAACAAAAACATGTATCAATTCTCAAATAATGCTATTGTCTCTACCTTTCACGGAGATAAAACATTTCATCATGAATGGAAGTAACTGTATCATACAACTTTTTCAGCTCCAGTTCCATGACCTGACATTTGTAATATAAGAATTAGAGAGATATGAGTTTTCCACAATCCTCTTTGAATATCTTAATCTACTATGAGAACTTAAATTAATGTATGGTATATGGAAAAAAAGATTTTGAATAAAGAAAGATACAAAAGCTACATATAAGAAAAATATGAGAAACAATATAGCTTCATTTCCCAAAAACAGGAAACACTGCCAAAGAAACCAATCGTAAAACATAAGACAGAAATCAATTTCAAGTTTAAGCCTTATTTAACAGTTTTCAAGCATCAAATAATGTTCTGGAATTTCTCCTGATTTTAGATGATTGAAAGAACTAATATGGACGAGCAACTCAACTACTTCTGCAACAATGAACAATATTCTGTTTCTCAACTTGAAATATCCTTACTTCCTGCAAACTTGTGAGACATGAGAACTTATGTTCCCTGATCATTGAACACACTCTGTATAGACTATAGACTCCAAGTAAAGGTAAACTTTAATATGAAAAAACATCTGGGCCAATTCTTTTGAAATTATGTATCTTCACCTCAGGCATGCTAAGACATTAGTTGAAATCAAATTTGATTAATGTCAAAGCAAGATGGTCATTCTGTTTTCTTTTCTCTCACTGGCAGGCCAAAATTTATAACGAAAGATTTCTCTAGGATTCTCCAACAGTTCCCACATGAAAACTAAAGTTGGCCAGAAACTTAGTGCAATGCTCCTCACTGCACCTGATTTTGGAAGGGAGGGAGCAATCAAACGCCATGTATCTTATCAATCATACATACAATTAACAATGTAAAGGCATTTGTACATTTCTAGCTAATTAAAAATGAAAAGAAAAAACCAAAACAAAACCTTCACCTTATTACTTCAACTTTAATCAGAAGGGCTGAATCCCATTACAACCAAATTGTTATCATCACACTAGCTTTCAGTTGTTATAAGCCTGACATTTCTAGAAAAATATAGGCATTGTCATTGCCTTAACAACCAGATGAAGCTTAGTCTCATAACACTCTTTCATCCTTTAACAAGGAACTAAACTCTGGCAATCAAAATAGAAACAAAGACAACACCAAACTGAGCCAGTGTAACATCTATGAAAGAAAAATATATATACACCGCACTAATTGACACAATCTCCTTTCTAATTTCATTACATATATAACGAGCTCAAATCTAAAAAGAAATAGGAAAAACAAAATCAAGGCATACGAAGAGAAATATAGAATCTGCAAGGCTACAATAATATAAGAATGTAATTCTATATTTAAAAAAGGAAAAGAAAAGTAAACGGAGGACTTACTTCGACCTGGCCTTTCTTGGCCACATTAGACCAATCCTTGGCATGCACTCCTGTTCTCCAATCGAAATCAATAGTCATCGTCTCCTGCGGAGAATGATCCGGGGCCCAAAAGCACGCCATGTAATCCCCCGCCTCCGCCGAGGTAAACGCAAACTGCCCCGACTCCACACCCTCCGAATAGTGATAACTATTCCCGTGCGCAGACGTTACCTGGACACATCAAGCTCAAAAATTACTCAACTTTCTAATGAAAATCGAGCAGATAAAACGTGGGTAGTTTAGAAATCAAGGAACCCAAGAGAAAAAGAAAAGGGGTTTTCGATTTTTCATACCCTGACGGTGATTTTGTGGGACTCCGGCAAGGGGTGGCCTTCGTTGTGATTAACGATGCTGTACTTACCGACGGTCATCGAATTGCTTTTGATGTCTTCTGCTATGCATTTAGTGTGCCCGGATTGTAGATCGAAGCGCAAAGATCGCGATGTGGGTAATAAGATCAATAGAACTGGAAGAAGGATCAAGAACGACTGAAAATTCATCATGGTCAAAGAGCAGTGGAACAGCCGATGAGGGGGAAGGTTGCGGCTGTTTTGTCCGAGAAATCTCGTCTTTCAGAATTCAGATGCTGCGACAAGTAACTTGAGATTGTAAATGGTCAAACGTTGAGTGCGACGTGGTGCACTGCAATTGGACCAGACACGTAAGGGATTAAAGCTAATGGACGACGATCCCTCTATTTTGTCATTTTGTTCATTGACATCCTGTACGTTGAGTTGGTTCATTGGGGTCCTTCTACATTTATTTTTTTATTTGGAAAGTTAAGGTGTCTCCAAACCAATTTTCAAACACGTCAAGACTAATATTTTCTTAAACAATTTTATGGGCGTTAGTTCTATATGGTTTACGAACTAGTGATCTCATTGTTGTCTATAACCCTTCAAGGACTCTCTTTCTCTACTCTATGATGGAAATAAGGTTAGAATCAAAATAATTATTCTAAAACATGCTTTTTGTTTTTGATATGAGAAAGGGAAAGTTTCATTTCCTCTAAAGAGCTATTTAAAGAGGCATGTTGAAGAGATCTTAGGTAAAGGTTTAGACTCTTCAAATGTCCAATGCTTGTTACAACTTATAGGAGGCCTTCTATAGCACTCTTTCATAATTTTTTCTTATGTCATTATTGACGCTTACATTATTGTCTAATGGTCCAAACCTGTTTCCTACTTTTAATAAAGTAGATTATATCATATATTTAAGGAATTTTGTGATGTTATGATTGACACTACTTCCTTTATTTGATTACTTTTGTGACATAAGAGTTTTGTCTCTTTTCTTTTGAGGATGATAAGATCTTCCTTATTGTTTGAAGGGTTGGAGTCTTGTCACATGCTGCTTTAACTTTTCCTTTAAGAGATTCCTTTCTATAAGAAAAGCCACAATTACTATTGTGGATTAACAACTTGTACAATTTGTTATTGACCACTTTGCTAGCTGACCATAGAAATCTCATTAGTGAAGCCATAAATCCATGTCTTTCTCATCTCTAACATGTAATCAAAAGTCTATAGTAAGACTTTAAATTTGTGGGCTCTTCTTTCTTAGATGAATTTTGATCCACAAAAGGATTCTTCAAAATCTTGATGGATTTGATATAATTTGCCTCTATCTTGCCCTTTTTGGACTAGATTCCAATTTGAATTACGTGGTGACTGGGAAAACAGTAAGACTCTTCTTATTATGATGTTGCAAATAGACTTTGATGAAGAATACTTCCCCTTATCTTGGTACCAACTTTGGCATCTCTTATACTATGGCATATTACTTCTCAAAGCACTAAGATTTCCTCATTATCCTTTGAGAGATAAATACAGTTTATAAAACTATAATCAAATAATTCTTTAATTGCTTTTGGGTTTGAGCACTACATAAAATTAATAATCTCTTCATGATTTGGATGGCAATTCTTGGCTCATTGAATATGTCATTGTACAAATTTTGTAGTATTCCTGCAAATATTCTTCAATCCTTGTCATTTTAGACAAGTTATCATTAGTATAACTTTCTTTTCTTTCTTACCTAAGTAATCACATTGAAAGTTATGGTTTTGCGCATTTTGAATGCTCGGCTTTTCAACTTGAGATGTTGATATTTCTAGGGGAAAGTATTTGAAATAATATTTAAAATTCCCAAAACTTTCTCTGTTGTACCTATGATTTTGATGATAACAAAACACATTTGAATTACTAATTTGTTTATTTAAGTGTTTAGTTTATGACTTGAAAGTTGGTTAGAGTAAATGAACTTGAATTGCATTGTAAAAGAACCAAAATGCTAAAATTGGTGTGGAGAACTAGCTAAAATTGCTCGATGGAAAAACAAAAATTGCAGATGGAGTAGGATAGTCAGCTCTAGGCATGATAGCCAACTTTACACAACTGGCTCTGAGGATATAACTGATTCTATTGACAAAATCTACAGCACATTTTCTCAGACTTAAACTAATTTGCAAGATATTAAATGCACCCCAACGACTAGAAACGACTATTTTCAACCAAAAGGGTATAAATATTGTTGGTAAAAGCTTTTTAAAAGGTTTTAGATATTCTTCATTGTATATCTCTCATCTACCAACTTGTCATTCTTGTGTTTTAACTTGAGACTTTGACCATTAAGTGATCTTTACTTGTAATCCACTACTTGTTTTCTTTAAGAGTTATCTTAATGGTGTGATTATTCCTTCAAGAGTGATTTGTAGTGAAGATTCTTTGGTTTGTCTTGTAAAGTGGTGAGATTTGTGAGAAAACCTATCTTCTTGTAAAGGAATTGAATGGCTTCTTTAAGCTGCTCTTGTTCTTATTAATTAAGAGGGTGGAGAAAATTCTTGGTGAGTGAAGTCAAGGTAGAGGATTAGGCTCTAAGTGGTTGGATTGAACCTCTATAAAATCATTGTATAAGATTCTCTTCTCTACTCTTTTTGGTTTTTTACTTTGTGATTGCAAAAAGGAAGAAATTTTTGAAACTCCAATTAACCCCTCCTCTTGGAGTGCATTGAGCCAACATTCTCCAAGCAATCCTATTGTAGGATCTCTTTGTTCAAATCTTTGTTTTAGGTCTTGTTGAGAGTTTTTCTTTGGCATCTGGTTAGATTTTTTAAAGCTAATTTTGATAATGGTGAGTACTCTAGAATTAATTAATTTTTCTATTAGCTATTTTACTTTTTCAAGAGTATCTTGATCTCGATTTAACAACTCCTGGCCTTCATTCATAAGGCTATTGTCTTAGCTTTCTTTCATTTGATAATTGTCTTTTATGAGTTTTTCTTTTTTTCACCTTTAAGAATCAGGTATTTTCCTTCATTTTGGAGTTTCAGGATTTTATTCATTAAATCCTCTACCCCAAAACTTTGTAAGGCAATAATTATTAGTTCAATCTCAAAGCCATATTTAACAAAAAAATGTGCCATCAATTTGATCTTTTATATTCACATGTTAAAGGTAATTTATTAAAAATAAATTCTTTAACTTATGTATTATTAGTTCTTACCTTAAAATGCTAATTTGGTGATAAGAAGAAACTGAATTTCTTGATTCCATTCTTAACGGCTAGTAAGTCTTAATGGTTGGAATAATATCTAGTTCTACATCCTTAAATGTTCCATTAGTATATCTACAAACTTTTTCTTAGGTGTTCTTTAAAATTGCTTCCTAGTAAAAATCTGAAGGATCGCATTCTAAGATGAGTTCTTCATCGTCATTGGCCAATTACAACCTAGGAATGGTTTTATAATATTATTTAAAAATAAGAATCTACTTATATACAAATTTTACACACTATACTTATACAAATTTTACACATTATACTTATACAAAATCTCAACTATTTTATCTCTCAACTTTTAATAGTTGAGATTTATTTATATTTATTAAAGACAATTATATTTTTCAACTGAAAAGTTATGATAAATCTCAACTATTAAAAATGAAGAGATAAATAGTTAAAATTTTATATAAATATAATGTGCAAGATTTATGTGTAAATAATTCTTCCTCATTCTTTAATCTTTTTCACATGATTAAAGTAATAAATATCCCACTATTAATTTTCTTTAGTCCTAAGTAGTTTATGAAAAGGGTATCTAAGTTGAGCTAAATTTAGAATAAATTACTTTGCATAATTAAAGATTTCTAAGAATCTTTGAATCTTCTCTCTAGATTTTAACTTATCTAGAAATAAAAATATTATTTCACTAATACAAGATTGTAACTTTATTCATGTAGAGTCTATAGTTAGATTATGAAATTTTATCTTGATTTTTCTTATTTTTGCTTTCTTTTTAGAAAGTAATATTTTTTGCTTTTTACCTAAATATGTAAGTTTCCTAGGATTTGTATATATCTAAAAAGATTAATAATATCATTTACATACACTATGCAAAACTTTTAAATAGTTGAGAATACACTACTAATGAGCTAAATTTATATATATATATATACATATATATTAATATGAAAATTTTTTTCTTTAATATTATTGATATTTGAATAAGTTTTATGAAGTTTACTTAATTTTGCATAATTTTCATTTATTGTGCTAAAAAGAACTTAATGGAAAGAAATCAAAATCGTTGGACCAAATTGAAGAAATCAGAACTATGAGGATCAAAGTGTCAATCAATGAAAGGTGAGGGACCATATCAGAACAGTTTTACCAATAAAGAACCAAAATTGCATTTTTGCCCAAAATGGCCAACACGGACAGGGCACCGATTTAGCCAAGGTCTCGGCACTATGGTTAGGGTGGGACGCCTTGGGCAAATTTCAACAGATCAACATATGTTCTTTATTATTTTAATGTGAGTCTCACGTATATTTCAATTAAGTTTTTTACAAAAATTGAGAATATGGTTGAAGAAAGCTGGTCCAAAAAAAAAAAGAACACTTTTAGGTTTTCTATTAAATGAATTGTTTGTGAAAATATAAGATTCTACTAATACAATGGTGTTGATATTAAAATTATTGATGAAAATAATTAAAATTGAGCAAATTTAATAGTGTTGATGATAGTTCATTCTCAAGGGAAAAAAGAAGAATAGTGGCTAAAACTTTACTTTTGATTGTCGAAATGGTGGATATAAAGGAAGAATGAAGATGGTGCTGAAGATATCACTACCCATAAAAATCCATGGAATTTATTCTCCGGTCTTGGTCTTCACTCTTCAACCATGTTTTTAGGCTTTATGTGCGAAAATGATTTAAACTACCCTGTTGTTGACGCTACAGGAAAATGCATCTACTAGGGGAGAACAAGTAACAATCGGGCAAAAAAATGGCCAAAAAATGAAAACCAATTTGGTTAATTTGAATCCATTTGAAGGTGTTATTTGATACTCTTGATTTTGCTACTTGGAATAGTTGAAGGACGTTTTTGAGTACCTAAGTCACCTGTGCATGGAAAAAAGGAAAAACTCGTTAAGGCGGGCACTGAAGGTGTCTTTGACATACTTGTTTTAATGTTTAAGTTAGACAAGGTTCAAGAAAGTGAGAGAAGAGTGGAAGAAGGCTGGAATGGAAAAAGGACTAAAAAAAGAATTGCCTTTAATGGGGTAAGAGGTCTGTTTTAATTACTTTCCTAATTTGTTGTGTAGTGGGTAAACTTGTCAAATTCTGTATGTCATAAGTTTCATATTTGTCAAAATAGTACACTGGTAGGTGTAGCATCCCATATGAGTAAGACATGTGGGTGTAAGACAAAAAGAGTTAAGCAACGTCTTTGACATTCTATAGGTGGTGTAACATAATGGTTCATATATGCTACCTAACATGGTATAAGCCTCCTATTTCTTGTGCTTTATTTTTAACTTAACCTTAGAGGGTATCATAGCTTCATCTAGAGTAGCATATTAGTGTTATGTTGGTTCTGACGGGATAACTCATTAATTATGAACCTAGGATTCTCGTAAATTAGCACTTCTATCAAGTATTTTATGAGAGCTTTCTTCAGGTTAGATTGGCACGATAAATTTTGGTTAATTCAACTATTCTATAAAAGACATAAACTAGTAAAGGAGTCGCCACATGTATGATAAGTATTCATCTATTATCATCGTACATACTAGCTATCTTTTCTTCCAAGTTTACAAGTTTTATGGGCAACCAAAGCCACACACAATAAGATTTGGAGATCAATTGATTCTAAGTTTCTAGCATTATGTTAAACTTTAAAAAGTTCGGAAACTAATTCTCTTAAAAAATTGAAAAATTTAGACTAAAAGTTAACATTAGTAAATTTTTTCGTTTGCCCATCAAGTATGATAAACGAAAACTAAATGACATGTGAGACAAAAATAACGGAAAGTAACAACAATTAACTGAGGGTTGATTTGCTACTGTTGTGAGGTTGAAGGGCTCATATACACGTTTATTTGTTTGGGGGCTGATATGCTAAAATGGATTAAGTTTGAGGGCTTACCAATAGGTTTTGTTCACTCTAACTCTATTATTAGGTCGATGGAAATGGATGAAATGTGAGAATAATTATATTTTTTTCATCTCTTTCCTTTTTTTTAGGTAAATAATTAAATTTTAAAAAATTAACTAAAGAACATATATGTTTCCTCCTTTTTAATTTTTTTTATAATTAAATAAAATTTTTTTAATCTTTTATTCTCTTTTATTTTTTAATTTAAATATATTATAAAATAATAAAATAATAATACGTACAATTATGATTTGATATTTAATATATTACATATTATATTTATTAAAAAATTATTATTATTTTATTTAAAACTAGTTTTTGTTTTGCTCATGTGTTACACGGTTTTTTTTAATTTTTTATATTGGAGTTTAGATTTTTTATTTTTTATTTATCAGCTCTTGAGTTTTGTAATGATTTTTAATTAAAAAATTTTAATTAAGTAATTAAAGTTGAGTTA